ATATGAATATTTTTGTTTGTCTGTCCCATTGTGTTTCAACTTCCCCATCCTGTACACTACCTCAAAATTAATTGAGGGTTTTTTTGTCACTTATTTTTCTCTAGGCTTGCATTTATATTGTCTCAAATGCATGGAGTGTCATAACTAGTACTGTATTTTGCATTACTTAATAAAAGACACCAGTGGAAGTGTTTTTGTTGGGTTCTTCCCCCCGCCCCCCATTGAATAATGCTCAAGCAGGATGTTGTTGTTGTTCCTGGCTGGCATCCTGCATTGCAATTACAGGTTCAAAACCTAGAGTTATGGATTTGTAGCTGCTTGATATTCAGTTTTGTACACACTCACCATTGTGGCACTATTGCAACGATTGTAAATACCATCACCACCCTAGAACCTACCTTAAAATCAACCTACCTTAAACTCTGAGCAATAGAGGTCTGTGATGTGGGCAAACTTCAGGATGGCACAGCTAGTCCACTCTCACATACCCCAAGACCCAGTGTGACAAGCAAAAGTACCATGTCTTATGAGGAGGAGTGGGCTCATCCCACTATGGCTCAGGGTGGACAGGGGATAGGTGCATCATTCACCCATGCCACCAATGCCCATTGCTCAAAGTGGCTCCTTCCCTCCCTTTCAGAGGCATCAACCTTAGATCATTCATCAGTACATGCACATCGTTATGAATATGTACATAGTTATGAATGTGATCTAAGATTTTGGTCATTTTATTCTACAGGATCAGCTTGGAATGGTGAGCATATCTAAGAAAAAGCTTGACATTTTCTTTTTCAATTTCTCCATCCATCATGGCCACTAGGAGTTATAGTCCAAAAATGTAAGTTTCTCAAGTTCTGCAACTAGATAATAGAGGAGATGAGTGGGTAGTGTGAGGAGGTACAACCAGCCCTTTAGATAAATTCATCATATATTCTTAGATATGCTCACCTGGGTTAAGGCAGGTTTCTATCTAATCACAGAAGAGAGAACAATGGTAAAATAGTGAAAAGGCATTAAAGAGTGGAAATACATGGCTTAAAAAGAAGGCAGCAAAGTGGGAAAAATTTAAAATAACTGTGTAAAAAAGTGAACAGAAAAAGTTATTTTTACTCTCTTAAAATAATAGAAACTGGTCTCATTACAGACAGTACAAAAGAAAGTTAAAGCCTGCTTTGCTGTCAGAAGGCATGAATTTGGCCACCAATAAAAGTGTGGAATGCTCTTCCTTGTGGTAATTCTGTCCCCGTCAATTTGTAGACATGGGTGAGATATTTTCTATTGGCCTTACGAGAGATTGTGCATCTGTGAGATGAATTTTTGTGCAAATTGCTGAGCTACACAAACTGCTTAGCTAAACTGCATTAGCTGCCATCTTGTTGCTAGGACCTTGAAAAAATAAGGTTTTGGATGAGAGGCTGGATGGCCATCTGTTGGGGATGCTTTGATTGGGAGTTCCTGCAAGGCAGGGGGTTGGACTAGATGGCCCTTGTGGTCTCTTCCAACTCTATGATTCTATGATTCTATGACTTGTCTGCTTCTTTTTAATCACTCAGCCAGTTTTTCCATGTTTGCTGTCTCTTTCCTTCACAGAAGGAAAAGACAGTAATTTTGCACAGAAAGACTTTTTGTGCAAATTATGGAAACAAGATAAGTGTTTATCATTTTCTTTTTCTTTTTGCTGGAGGCAAGAATTCTTGTTGCATTGATGTTAGGTGCCTTCAAGTCAACTCCAACTTAACAGCAATTCTATCACAAGATTTTCTTGGCAAGATTTATTCAGATTTATTTCTCATTGCCTTCCTCTGAGGCTGAGGGCGTGTGGCTTATCTAAGGGTTTCCATGGCTGAGTGAGGATTCAAACTCTGATCTCCCACAGTCTTAGTCCCACACTCAAATCACTAAACCACATTGACTCTAAGAACTCTTGTGAAAGAAGGCAGTATCTTGGCAGATGAGCCAGCCTCCCTTGATGAGAAATTTTGTGAATATTACTGACATCCCTAGTAGTCTCTGAACACTTTTCAGGGGCAGCCCCATGTTTTTTAAAAAAATGAATCACATGAAGGTCTTCTGAATGTGATGCAATCTTAATGTGAAGAAATATTGCCCACAAGAACCTGCACAAATATTCCCTCCCTCATTAGACCTTCCAGCAAACATCGGTATGTGGAACTTTTCTTTTCCTTACAGCCATGAAATCTACTGCTGCCACTGCTATGACATACATCTTTAGCTATATCTGTTGCAACAGATTTTGTGTGTCGTGAAAGGCCAGCAAATGGTTAGTTGTTGTATTATTGTTATAATATTTTTACTTCCATACATTCAATTACAGTTAGATCAGAAATGTAAAAAGTGTAGCCTACAGGCCACATGTAGCCCCCAAGGCCACTTTTGAGACACAGAACAACCTCCCAGAGCCCCCCTAAATTTGGGACAGAGGCAGCTTTGCCATGATTGAGGGTGTTTGTTATAAGTCCAAGTAAAGCCTTTATTCAACTGGTTTACTTTCTGGTCGAAGGCATTTCTAGAGCCTAAAACGGCGTGGGAGGCCCCATTGCAGAAGACTTTTAATGACATTTTCAACAAACCTTTTTTATTAACTGTGGATATTTCAGGGGTAGAGCTGCCAGACTGAAAAAAGAAGATGGCTGATATTTAATGGTTGGGTAGAAGAAGGAATTTCAGGAGTTGTTGCTTGTCAAGCAACCAGGTCACAAGCAACAGCTATTGAAATTCTTTCTTCTATGCAACCATTAATGCAGGACACCTCTCCAATGTTCACTCTGGCAACCCTAACAGAGGATGGTGCCATATGCCAAATCTCATGTGAGACCAATACCCCCAAAATTCAATATTTGCTCACTCTTTAGAAGAGTTTAAAAATGTTTTTAATTATTTTTTTCTATTACACATTTTCCTGTACCTTAAAGCTTAACACTTAACTCCCTCTTCTCTTTCCATCTTCTCTTCCTACTTCACCCTCATCTTACACAGTGATTCTAAATCCTACCCTCAGCGCCTTTACTCCAATAAAGAGGTACCTGTATTCTCTGGGGCCTCCTCTTCCTCCAGATGCATCAGAAGAGCCTTGATGGATCTGATCAAAGGCTTCTCGAATCCAGCATCCTATTTCCCAGATGCCTCTGGGAAGTCCCAAAGCAGGGTATGAGGAAAGGTATGCAGGGTATGCCTCCTTCAGTCTAACTGAATCATAAGGCCTCTCTACATCTTGCATCTTATGTTTTGTGAAGCTCCTGGCAGTGTGCTTCGACTCTTCATTCTGTTCATCCCTTTAGGTCAAGTGCATTTGAAAATAAATTTGGAAAATGGTCTTTACAAAGTCAGTCTACACTTGCCAAGCATCACATGCATTCTGCTAGCTTACACAATAGTTCCAAATAGTGCCTTAGTTGAGCTTGGAAAAGCTTGTTTTTTAAAGAAAAAAACTAAAACTTGTAGCCAGCATAGCTAGCTGGCAGGTCCTAGGAGTTGTAACTCAAAAATAGTCACTTTTACAAGGTAAACACAGACCCTCAGGTGGCTGGCATACTGCAGAATTAATACAGCTTGACAGCGCTTTGACTGTCATGGCTCCTGGAGTTTGTAGTTTGTTGTGGCACCTGAGGTCTATCACAGAGAAGGTTAAATAGCTCAAAAACTACAAATCCCAGAATTCCATAGCATTGAGCCATGGCAGTTAAAGCGTGTCAAACTGCATTAATCCTGCAATGTAGATGCAACCTCAGACACATGCAAAGGGAGAAAGGAAACCCAATTATAAGAACCAAATAGCCTTTAACTAGACTACATCAAGAGTTTGGTGCATGAGGAGGAGAATGAAGATGATGGCTGGCATTGTGTTGAGTTATGCCCCCTTCCCAAACCTACCTTAATGCTAGCAGCCACACCAAGTGATGGAAGTGTGTTCTACTGGTAGTCAGGGTACAGGAAGATGACATTTCCAGCCTCTCCTGCTAGCAAGCTGCAATGGGACAAAAAGAAGCAGGGCCTCTGTCACAAATCCTCATTGCACCTCAACTTAGGGAAGGCTGGAAACCTCTTTCTGTAGCCCCCAATTATCAACTTGCTTGGTGCAGCTGCTGGCTGTTAAAGTAGTTTTGGATAGTTAGATCAGGAGATGATATGTAGTTAGGTATTTGTATCTATCTATGAAGCAGGATCTCAGCCAATAATTATAATACCAGCAGCAGCAGCAACAAGACAGAAGTGTTAAAAGAATTGAAGGAGGTTTGCAAATACAGGGTGATTCAAAAAGAATCGTACAAAAGTAAAGTTCTTCTTATTTGCTTTTCCACCATTCTTTTTGAATCACCCGTTATAAAGAGAGGCTGTAAAATGAATGGCATGCAAGAGAACAAACTGGGTTTGGTGTGCAAAGAGAGAGATGGGAAGACATGACAGACATGTTCAATATTGAAAGGACTGTGAGAAACAAAACAGAAATCTATTCCTTTCCTTTTCAGCCCGAGGCAGTGGACATTAGACACAAAGAGATGTGGAAGACATGATTAGAAGCACCAACAGCACACTTGGTGTGAACTATGAAAGAAGAGGAGCTTGCACACCAGTCTAGGACTAAGTACTGATGGAGATGGAATCCAGTCAAAATCATATCCATCACAGGCCATTTGGCTAGAAAAGGATGTTTGCCCTATATGGCAATGATACCAAAGATAAGCTCATGGTATAATATTTTTATTCTGACATTCTAGGGCTAATTTCCTTATAATTACAAAATTTATGCTTTATATGAAAAGTAAGAGGAACAGTCCAGTCTTGTCTAGAACCCCAAATTCTGGTCTCCTGTATCTACCCTTGCTCAAGGGTGTAGCAGGGAGAAGGCAAGATAAGGACATTGCCAGCCCCAAGCAAGAATTTCCCTTCAATCCTCCAAATTCCTAATATTGAAATAATTTAAAACCTTCCTCTGAGGCTGAGAGAGTGCAACTTGCCCATGGTCATCCAGTGGATTTCCATGGCCAAGCCGAGACTTGGACCCTGGTTTCCAGAGTCATAGTCCAGCATTCAAACCACTATACCACACAGGCGCTCCACTTTACAATGTTAAATATATTGTAGCTGAAATTCCATCGTTCTCCCTTAGGTATTTGAGCTTTCCATGTACAAAAATGCAAGCTTTGGCATTCCATTTTTTGCACAGCTTGAGAATATACACATCTGTAAATGTAAACTTAAAATGTTCAAACCTAGAAATCACCTGCAGTATGGGTACAAATACAGCAACCTGCCTCTGAGGACAGCTTAAATTAATCTAGCAGTTCCATCAGGCCATACATTTCATCAAATATTTTCCAGTATTCAATTTTCTATCTGTGCCTCC